GGGAGAGGGAGAAGCAGGCTTCCCGCTGAGCAGGGAGCCCGATGCGGGGCTCGATCCCAGGACCCCAGGATCATGACCCGAGCCGAAGGCAGACGCCCAACGACTGAGCCACCCAGGCACCCTATACCACACTTTTTTACTTTGTCTATTTCATTCTTTTTTTAAAAAAAGAGAGAGAATTTCATTCTTACAATGAACTTCTACTAAGAATTCCAAATTGAATTTCCCCCGGGAAACCCTGGCTTCCTGTGCTGAAGGGAGGGTGGGAACCTGCTGGTCTCTGGCTGGATCAGGATGTGGTTCTTAAAGAGGGCCCGGTGGCGGGCCTCCGTTTACAAATGGAATTCCTCTCCCACGAGGACAGGGAGGAGTTGGAACTCCTGGGGGCAGGCCTCCCCCGCCCCCCGCCCCAGGGCTGCCCTGCTCTCTGCCCCGGAGCTGCAGAAGGCGGGGAGCAGGTGAGGGCTCAGGGCTGCAGGGAGGGGTTCGGGCTGCGTCTTGTGCGCCTTGTGCGGGGCTCTCTGCTGGCCCTGCACCTCCTTTCTTGGGAGGTGGCGACCACTGTCCCTCGAAGCCGAAGCCGTGGGTGGGAGCACAGAGTCGTGCTGAGCAGCATGGCTGTGTCCTGACTCAACCATTTCTAGCTGGAGAGGAAACTCCCAAGTCAGCTTTTGCCACCTGAGACATTTAAAAAAAATCTAAACCCCATCTGCATCCACAAACACCAAGAAGCAAGTATCTGTAGGCTCGAGCCCAAATGTAGTTGGATCAAATGTTTATCATGACTTTTTAAAATTGAAATATAATTGACATACAACATTATATTATCATTACTGTTAAGAGCTACATTCTGGAGAGAACCCACATTTGCTTCCAAAGCAGCAGCTCAGCTCCTTTCGGTGAAAGACACACTGTGGCAAACAGGCCCGGCTGCTCCTTTGTCAGGAAACCCTTAGGCATTCCAGGACCCGACGGCAGGGCCAGGACCAATTGCGGGGCCATCCAGCACCGGCCGTGTGTCCGAGGCGCCGGCCCCGGGAGTCCCATGTGAATCTAGGCATGAAGAGCCCTCGAGGAATGAGGAAAACCAGTAGCCGAAGAGAGCATTAAATTCCAGGTGTTGCCGCTGTGAACTTGTATGTTCATTCATTCATTCCTTCATGCATCCTTTTGTTTGCTCAGTTCAGTGTCTGCTAAGCTCCTGCCCGGGGCCCCCAGCACTTTCCCAGCTGCAAGCGGTGGTCACACGTGACCCACTTCCAGAGCAAGTCCCTGGCACTGGGACCCAAGGCCCAGCGACAGGGGAGACGTGAAGCTCATCCTTGCAGAGTGTGGGCGAACTTGCATGTCTTTTTCCTTCTCCTTGGAGCTACTCACTTGTGCGAGCACGGGCAGGCCGAGCGCCAGCCGGGAGGTCCAGCTGGGAGGGAGCCTGGCCGTCCAGACCCCAGTGGCTTGGGCATCGTCACCATTACAGCGAGAAGCCAGGTCCAAGGTGGTTTTGGGAATTAAATAAGGTCTGTGTGTCCATGTCTGGTAGTAAATAGTGGCTCCTTTTCTCTCTCCCACACATGAAATAACACACAGTAAAAGCACACGGCCATGGTGATGTAAGGAGGCGGGTGGGTCCCGACTCTGACGGCTGACAGGAGCAGGAGGGAGAGGTCAGGTGCATCAGGAGGCCCCAGGTCCGACCCCACCTTCCCCACCTGCTAGTGGGGTAACGCTGGGCAGCTAACTTCATTTCCCTCACCTCTGGTTCCCTGACCTGTGAAATGGCGCAATGTGCTGACCGCGGCCGGCCTTCTATTGTCCCCCGTCGAGGGGGACTTGCCCGTCACAGTCTGTCCCGTGCCGCCGCTGAGGACGGCTGGGTCCCCGCTGCAGGGTGTCCCAGAGCACACGCGGATTCTGCCTGCGTCCATCTCATGGAGAAACTGCAGGAAGCTGGGGGCTGGGCACAGAAGGTCTCGGTTCAGAGGCTCCGGCTTCCTGTGCCTGGAGCCACCGCGGGCCGCGGCCCGGCCCCGTGCCTGGTGACGGTAGCATCACGGCTGTCTCTGGTGAGCACGTGCCCCTCGCGGGCCTCTCTGTGCTTCACTCAGCTTCTCCTCGAGCTGGCCTCTTGGGCTCTTCCCTCCCCTCTAAGATGACACAGGCCGGAGACGGACACGTGATGAGGCCAGGGCACTGGTCCCGGGGCTGCCAGATGCACAGCTGTCCCCAGACCCTGCGCCGTTTGGACGTCAAAGTCTCAGGTGAGGGCTCTCTGGGTGCTGCCGCCAGGACCTCCTCTCTGGCCCCAAGGGGAGAACCGGTGTGCCTGATTACACGGGGACGCAGGGCCAGCTGTGTCCTCCTGTGCCTTCCGTCCTGTGCCACACACAGGGGTGACGGGTGCTGTCTCAGCGACACAGAGACCGATGAGCTACGGCTGCACTCGAGCCCACGGCCTGATGCTGAGTAGAACGGGCACGCTCAGAGGCCGCACACACAGCCGGTGCCGGGAACGCTCCAAGCCAGGCACACTGCACAACTTTGTTAAGAACACACTGGTGTGGGGCGCCTGGGTGGCTCAGTCGTTAAGCGTCTGCCTTCGGCTCAGGTCATGGTCCCAGGGTCCTGGGATCGAGCCCCGCATCGGGCTCCCT